TCTTCATTACCCATTTAAGCCGTCTCCAGCCATTATTAGTCTCAAAGTGGGTTCCTCGTCATCGAATTTTTATTAAAAGTACAATGAAAATAAATGTAGGGATAGAAATAATGAAATAAACTTACATTCACTTGAGGGAAAGCAATAAGGAAGATTACATTCCCTCTTGCAAAGTTACATTTCTTCATGAAATGTTTTTTTATTTAATACATGCAATATGTTCACTTTCATTGGTCATAACTAAAGGAATACAGATGGACCATGCATTCCCAACTGAGAAAGCCAATTAAAAAGATGAAATTCCTCAAGTAAAGTTAAATTCCTGGGGAATTCAGAAATTTAATATTTCAATCCTGAAATGTTGAGAAAAATTGGTAAAATCTGATTTAAAATCTTGGTAGATGTATTCAGGCCTTTAGAGGTTAAAGGTGTTTTATGAATGAAAACTCAGTGGTATTGATCATTTTAATTTTTTTGAAATGTATGTTTTTTTCCATATGAAAAATATAGTGTTATTATGTATAAAATATTTAACATATAAATTGGTAAAATGAAATATTGATCTTAGAATTTTTTTCCTCTGAAACGAAAGCTCATACATTTTTTATTGTAAAATGGTAATTATAATAGTGTCAGATGTATTGATTTAGTTACAGTTTATCTTCAAAGGTAAAAATTATATATATATATATACTGTAATTTTTTTGTATTTTGAACCCCCAGATTTATTTTTATCTGAAAATTATAATGTTTATAGTTAGTGAATACAACAACATTGAGTCAGTTTTTGTTGCAGTGTTAATTAGAATGCAGCTAAAAGTTTTGTATTTTTTTATTTGAAAGCCAAAGTGAAGGCTTTAGAGCCTCATGTGATCAAGCATCTGGCCTGTGGAGAAGCTCACAGCTTAGCAGTAAGTGAGGCTGGTCAGGTTTTTGCATGGGGTAGTGCAAGTTCTGGGCAGTTAGGTTTGGAAAATGAAGGAGACCATTTGCCCTCTCCAAGGTATAATATTGCAGCTTTTAAGAATTTTCTATTAAATTATCTTATAAGTTTATATAACAACATTTTATTTCCTTGAAATTAATTTTTAATTTAACACACACACTTTAAAATACTTATTTTAGACAGTTAAATATTCTTGGTCTATTTATTGCAGTGTTCCATTACACTTAAAATTCTATGTATGCATTAACCTTTCTTTACAATATTTCTTCATGGGGAATTTCTAAATATGAACAGATATATTCAAGCTTTTTTATTTAAACTGTAATATTTATGGGCATTTCCATTAAATATTTGATTTTATTGTTAAGCCATATACACCTACTTAGCAGACTTTTAATAAAGGTTAAACATATTAGCATATTTACTATTAGTTATTTTAAAACATGCTTAACTGCACCTGAATGAAAATTTACCTATAAATAACTTGTAAATGTATGTGCAATTCATTTTACATAACTGGTTATTAATTAAAAATTTGTCATCTGTCAGGGTGGAATTGTCACCTTTAATTCTGCATTGAGCTTTGCATAAATGTTCAGGTTCATACTCATTTAACACATTCTTAGTGATGTATTAAACTGTCAACTGCTCCCATATGCCAGTCAAACCATCAGTACTTTAACAACATGGTTTTTCATGCTCAATTTTCTGTAGTTGCGTGTCTCCCTGTTGATAGTTGCTAAACACTTAATTAATTGTACTTGCTCTCTCTCTTGCCCATTGTAATAGTACCATTAGGCCAAACAAGGATGAACTGTGAATTGTTTAACCCTAGATTTACCTTATAAAATCTAAGTATTACACTCTCTCATTGTCATAAAAAAAAATGCAGCATTGCAGGAAGTTATAAAAGCATTTTATGTTGTGTATACATATATATAAATATCCAAACATAAGATATAAAGTAGTAAAGCACTTTTCCCTGAAGATGGCCACCTGGAGACAGCCAAAACATGTTTAGAGAATCAAGCCTCTGTTGCTTGCATACCTTCCGACTGTGCTCAAGTAAGTGCCATCACCAAAACAAAGAGAAGTTGTACAATTTCTACATAATTTTAATAGAAGACAGCAGCTAAAATGAAAACAATTTTAGTTTCAAAGGAGGTCTGGAGCACTATGGCTTTATTTCATTTTCACTAGACCCATACATGCCATAGGATACTTACCCAGTACAGGCCACTGAATTTGTTGCCAACTCGTGAGAAAGAGACTGAATTTGAACATCAGATTGGATAGTTTGTTAATAATGTCAATGTGCAGACTGAAAAACTATAATACATAAACATCAGCACTTAGAAATGACAAACTAGCATTAAGAACTGAGGATTGGTTGTTAAAGGAGAAATTACACTTGTTGTCATTTCATTAGCTCACCTTTCAGGATGACAGTAAAATGTTACACAGGTCAACCATCAAACACAGTATTGTACACTTTTGTACTCATTATATTCTGATAATTTAATTCAAAATACATTTCTACCAAAGTTTCAATAGTTTTTACAATACAAAATTTAATGAAATTAACATTAAATTTAACTGTGCAGTTTCTTGCTCTCAATAGTTTGGACAAGTCAGTACTGAGAAGTTCCTGCATGGTTTGTCTATAGTGCATAGATAGTACCTAGACTCGGTGATTCTGCTTAGCTATATACAGTATGAAAAACAATACACTTGCTAAACACACACACTGCTTCTGTTCAGTTATACAATGCAGAACAATACTTTGAGATCGATAAATAATAGTGGTTTTGAGTAGCTGTGTTTTCTGGTATATATAACAGATTTGAAATGAATAATTATATAATGTGCATTTTACGCATTCTGTTTCTAAGAATCATCATTTATAAATGTGTCAGAAACATTATTTTTGTATTTCACTAATCCTAACAGCTTGTTTTGACAGGATAAAATAAAAATGATCTCTTTAAATATTATGAAGTATTATGTGAACTCCCATTGCTAAAAGTTTCTACCTGATTTGTTTTGTATCTTTTACATTTTTCAGGATGATAAAGAAGTTGGCCACTTTGACTGTGGTCCAAATAGCATGTGGTCATCATCATTCACTTGCTTTAACAAACAGTAAGTACTCTTTCTTAAATTACACATCATCATTCAGGAATTACACAGGAGTAAAAATTTTATAATACATTTGTCTAAGGTTTATTGGAAATTGTCAACCATTTTTCTTATTTTGATATCTGAACTAATTACAATGTCTCTAGTTCTTGATCAGATCTGAGATATAAATACAAAACTGTTTTTTCTTTAACCCTTTCACCTCGGACTGATGCAGTTTGTTTTACTTTGACTGGAGAAGGACATTTATGCAAAATTATATAGTAACTCCGAGTATTTCTCATAAAATTTCATAAGGTTTTGTTAAAGTTTATAAGTATTTTGTACACAAAGAATGACATTATTTTAATTATGTATTTCTAATAAAAATATTATTTATCTATAGTAGTTATTTCTGATCAAGCTGTTAAAATAGTTTCAGTGCAAGGGGATTTTCATTTTAAGTATAAAAATACTTTTCTTCATCTTATAGTTTTCATATTTCATTTGCATAACCTCTAGAATCATCTAAATGGATATCAAAAGGTTTTTAAGGTAAATGTTTATATTTTAATTTTCATTTTCTTTACCATATCACTAACTCCAGCTATTATCATCAATGTACAATGCAATGAAATTACTTAAATTAGGAAGTAGAAAAAAAACAACATACCTTTTAATTTTTTGTACAATATCTTTAAAGATATTGTTTTGGTTATATATGTAATTTCAGGTCTTTTCCTTTTCACATATAGTTAATTTTTAATGTTTTATTTTTCTTTCCTGTCCTTTCCCACTTATTCATCTCGCCACAAATCAACGGGGTCTGCAAGGCATATAAGGGTGTCTCTAGCAGACATGTTCAACCCTTCAGCAAAATTTGTGTGCACCGCGTAATATTGTATGCCTTGAGAACTAACGCAAAATATGATGTATATTTAAAAATGTTTAAATCTTTAAGTTATGCATTTTAAAATGTAACTAATACATAATTAACTAAAATATAATAGTAAGACCTGAATACAATTTAAACTCTATCTCTAACTATAATATATTTAGGTAATAAACAATTGTAATTGCTATAGTTGATTAAGCAGCCAACAATACCACAGTCAGTTACATGCACTCTGTGACGACAACTGCGTGTCAATTTCAAAATAACTGTTGTTAGATTATAGTGTAAAATGAGCTCTTTCTAATGACTATACACATGTGTATGTAATGTCTACATATAGGCTACAAAGCTCAGACAAATCTGTTGAAGGTGAGTGTGGCACCTGTCGGGTTGAAAAAAATTAGTACTTGTCTCAACTTTATTTATTCAGAGAACTTTGAAATGTATGAGCCAAATGAATACATAAGAATTTCATAGTCTTGATGTACATCTGCACACAGAGTGCCAAAGTAGAGAATTTTTATAGCTCGTTGGTCACGTGACAATACATCTGAAATTTTAAGTAATTTTTTAAAGGATTCTTTTTGAAGTAAAGGACTTAAATCTTAGATAACATAAAACTTCGAATATTAATATACATTATAATGTTAATTTAATTCACATAAGTTGACAGTAAAGGTGTTTAATTACATTTTGAATGTAACATAATGACTTGAGCTGGAAAGTGTTTAAAGGGTACCCTTGGCTAAAGGATTAATTTGTGTAAATTACAATTAAGAATAGTTGGTTTTGCTTAACTTTTTTTTTTCTTATTGTTATGGCTTTTTAAAGTAAATAATTTATTATGCAATCTAAACAGTGTTTTTAAACTAAAGATTAAAGATAACTAAGAGAATTTTGAATATGTGTATTTCATGCACTATGCAGTATGTATATTTCCAGCCAATCCTTCACTGAATAGTTGCAGTACATATATAATTAAAAAAGTAATATGTGTGCATACTTAGGATGCTTTTTAAACTATGCAAAAGTGAAATTAGGAGTAGGTAAGTTTGGACAATATCACTGTATGCATAAGGGAGGGTTGGTGTAGTTAGGAAAATGTATTTGGGGAATGGATCTGTCATCCCTCAAAGCCCCATCTCAGACAGCAGTGTTTATGTGTTAAGGTTTTGTGTGTGAATTTCTTCATTTGTTTATAGACACTTAGAGTACCAGTATCATCACCCTCTTGAGTCTTAATACTCTCCCCTGATACCCAGGTTTTAAAAGTGTTGCTAGATCTGGTGTCTCTTATTAGATAAGTCAATAAGTTTGTCATTTACGATCAGATCATTTGGCTCAAAGTGTCTTTTGTACTAAAGGTGTTTATTGAGTATCATGTATTATGGAATAGGTTTATCCTCGTAGTTATTGAGCTGTCCTACAAGGCCATCAGATTCGTTCAGAACTCAACATACCTAACCTCTTAATTGAGTAGTCTAGACAGGTCACTTGACTATTTAAATTATCCTAAATACACAGCACTGCTTTTAGATTTTATAAATCTTGTGTATTCAAATACAAAATACCACATCAAAAAAATAATGTTTCATACTAGAAACACAAGTTTTCTCCCTAGTACATATAATAAGAACATCATTCAAAACTGGGAAATCAAGCTCCTATATACAGTTTTTCTGGTGCAAGCTTTATGTGACCTTTGCATGATTAGTGACTAAGCAAAACTCTTGCATACTCTAACCACACAGTATTTGTATTTTGTAATTATAACAAACTGTAATTATAGATAAATTTTTTAAACATATATTTTGATATATTTAAAGGGTTTACTTAACATAAAAGTTGGCTTATAGAGTTATAAATCTAATAGTAAAACAATTGCTTAGTTATTAATTTTTTGTGTGAAACTGTCATTGGTAAGATGAGTGAACCATTGCAATTCAGATAGCAACTGATTCTTCTTCTCAAAGGCCAGGTGGTTAGGGAGCTCGACTCGCAATCTGAGGGTCGTGGGTCGAATCCCCGGCCCACCAAATATGCTCGCCCTTTCAGCCATGGAGGCATTATAATGTGACAGTCAATCCCACTATTCGTTGGTAAAAGAGTAGTCCAAGAGTTGGTGATGGGTGGTGATGACTAGCTGTGTTCCCTCTAGTCTTACACTGCTAAATTAGGGACGGCTAGCGCAGATAGCCCTCTTGTAGCTTTGTGCGAAATTCAAAACAAACAAACAATCTTCTTCTCAAACAGGGAAGTAAAAATCCATTAGCTTGATGCCTGGAAATACCAAATTATGAATTCTGTCCTCTGTTTCACACATACTAGCATAAAGCTAGAATGGTTCTGCTTGCGCAAAATGTGTGAATGTGTATAAAATTTAATCATTAAGTTTAATTATTAAAATTTACAAAAATGCAATCTGTTAATATTTTTTTCTTTCAAAATTCTTAAATGTCAATTGCAACTAAAATTTTTGCAAGAGATGTAGTATGCTTATTGACAAAAGGATAATTGATTGTAAGATTTATACTGAAACACATATGCTTGACTTGGTTATAAACTTAAATTAAAATGCTCAGTTATTTAGTTTTGTATTTATAACAGTTTCTAATTTTATTGATATAAGATGAAACTGCTGCATTAGAGCAAAATAATTTGGACTTCCCACTCAGAACTCAGATGTTTGTGGCCTTTTTCCTAGGTATTATGAAAAGGGCAAAATGTTCTGAATGTCAGTCTCCTGTGTGGTTGTTTTGATTATGTAGTATATACAGTCTAGAAAACCTGCCCAGAGGTTATATATATATATATATATATATATCAGATTTCCTGTCTACCAAAAAAATCATACTTATGTGAAACTCTTGCTATTTATTACTGATATTTATTTTAAACTCACTAAACAATTTTAATTACAGCTGTTACAGGAATTTATTTGATACATGCTCCATCAAGAAGGTGCTGAACAGAAATTGTATAATTGGTAATCACTTTGTGTGTGTGGGAGGGGTAAAATAGTATGTGCATGATTCATTGGCTGGTAGGCTACTTTGACTCTAAAATTAGATTGAATAGGTTCTTATTAGTATTATGCATAATTAGAAAATGTGGTACTGTTTGAATAGTTTACTGATGAATTTTTTGGTTTAATTTAATTCTTATTTTTTATTTTATGATTTGACAACCTACAGTGTATATCTGGCTTAACTGTAAAATGTACAGTAAAATTAAATTATCTCACTTTAAATTTTAAATGTGGATAATGTAAATGCCCATTATTATTATTATTATTTAATATATCATCAAAAATAATCCATTAGATAGTTGCCTTTTTTTCAAATATGGGGAATATGAGCACTTGCTTTAGAACTTAAGTAAATACATGCATAAGTAGAAACTAAAAGCAGTAATTTACATATTTTTTCACAGTATTAACATGTGCACCTAAAATACAATAATTCATAAATGATACTTCTCTGTACCACGAAGAGCTATTATCTCATGCAACTGTCATGGAATTTCTTGCACATGCCACAAACCTTGAACAAACTCTCACCCCTATGTGTGTCTACATGTATTATGTCAGCGTATGATATAATCGTAATAATACTGTAGCTCTTCAACAGTAGAAGGATGACACAATCTATATGTGCAGTATTCCCCATGAGTACTACCACATGTTCATAGGCTCATTTTTCCTCAGCACTGCCGGTGTTTGGATGTATCTTTTTCTGTACTTTTTGAGTTCCTAGTTATCTTAATCAATTTCCCTTCTTTCTTTAGTGCTACATATTAATTACATTAATTGTTAATAGGTGATTAAATCAGCACTATAAAACAATAATGAATTAAATATTGCATTACTGTAATTGGTCCAGGTTGTCAACTTATTGTCATAACCGATAATGTCTGTGGTAATAGCACCCAAATGTGTTGGGGATATCCATCTATCAGACAAAATCCAAATGTCAATGTCAATCTTGTCAGCCATCATGGAAAATCATAAACAAAATCAATCAAATAAGGGTTTGAAGCTGAGTGCTTACACCCACAAAGTCTCAGCTTCTACTGCCTTTCACTGTCTATAGCCAGTTGTGGGAAGGCATTTACCCTTAAATTTCGTAAAATAGAAATGAATTGAAATATGTAATACAAAATCTGTCTCAGTTGTACTCAATAATATTCTAGATGTCTTATTTGAAAAAATACTGTTATCAAATAATCCGGATAATTTTTTTGGATTATTAAAAATAACATTCCAGTTTTGAAATGTTTAAATATTTTATATTCATCAAAAACAACCAACTTTTGTTAATATGGAAATAAATATTCCAAAATTTAAATTGACTAAAATTTGATGTAAAAAATATACTTCACTTTTGTATTTATAATAGTTATGTTACTTTCAACGAACAAGTATATTAAAAAACAGTGGGTATTCCAATGGGGTCGAATTTCTTTTCAAACATGGCCAACCTGTATCTGTTCTTTTATGAAAACTCATTTCTGAAACAGATATCAAATCCTAATTTATATACCTTCAGTTACATATATGATTTACTTCCATAAATAACTTGAATTTTACACCAACCTTAATATATCTGAAAGAACTTGCAATAGAAAGAAGCAATAGTAATGATATTCATGTAATTATTTATATTTAGACATTCATTTTGTAGAAAGCAGAGTACGGTTGACTATTTTCGATAAATGAAGGGAATTTAATTTTCCCATTCTTGATCTACCCACCCTCAATAGTGTTATTCTGTGTATAATGTTAAAAGGTATTGTTATATCTCAGTTATAAAGGTTTTATAATAGTTTGTAACAACAGTATTTTTTTCTATGGATAATGTTTTATTACTCATAAATAAACTGAAAGTAATGGATATAAAGACTGGCAATTTTTTTATAATAAATATGAGAATATTTGAAAAACTTATCTTTTGGTCATGGAAAATACCTTATGGAGACATTAGAGGTCATTAGTTACTCTTCGTTTATAAGAAGCTAAATTTGAAAATATAATTTTATTCAGTATACCGGGATGGAAAGACTAACTTCAGGTAGCTGGGCTTGCCTTGTAATCTTCAAGTGTTGTACTTGAATCAGTCTTCAAGAGAAAGAGAGGAGGTTGGGTATGTAAGAACTATGTAATAACTATTAAGGTGGGGTTTGTAGTTGTCTTTAAGATTATTTAGTTGGCGGAGGTTGGGAGTTTCACAGACCTCTGCATAATGGTATACTGCAGATTTTGAAACACATGCTACCTCACTTGCAGTGTTTGGAAAAAGGAATTATTTCTGACTTGTTATGCAAGTCATTTGCGTGTGTGTTTCTTTTTATCATACATACATGGCACTACAACATGTCAAAGGAAACAGACATGTGTGCCACATTCTACAGACAGTTACCCTTACAGTTTTTAAAGTAGAAATGAAACCACCCTAAAATTTCTACAAATACAAGAGTTTATAGTTTGATCTAGCATTCAGGAGATGACAGAATTTTTAGTGAGACCAGTTTTGATAATTAAAAGTGAAAAGGCTTGCAACCACTGGCCTAGAAGAATCCTTTTTGGAAAAAAGATGACTGACTTTGTTTATTGTAATTTTTCACCTATATTTGTGCGTTGCTGTTTGTAATTCTTTATTCATGTTGTATAAGAAATATTATAGAGAAAAGATCTTGTGGGTTTTCATTTAAGAAAGAAGCTTTACAGTGTGAAGCTTTCTTATACATTCCTTATTTAGTTTTAGAATTTCCTGTGCTGTTGCCTTTCAAGAATTGGCAAAAGTATGATTATTATTTTTTTTTAATAGAGTATATTGTTGGTTGTAATTTTTTATTTGTATATGTTAATGTACTCTATTAGATGGAGAATTATATGCTTGGGGTGAAAACAACTACGGGCAACTAGGAATAGGAGGAAAGGATACACAAAATTATCCTTGTTTAGTTGAAGCTTTGAAAGGTTTACCTATTGATCAGATTGCAGCTGGTGGTTCACATAGTTTTGTCCTTTCAAAATCAGGATCCATCTTTGGATGGGGAAAAAACTCGTAGGTTTTCTGTTTATTTCTTACTCTTAAATTTTGCAAACTTTAATAAGTATTTGTAAATAATTTATGGCTATTGGTTTGATACAATTTAAGATACTGATTAATATATTTCTAAAAGTTTGAATATAAAATGTGAATTGAGAAATTCAAAGTAATTATAGTGCAGTTCTAACTTGTATCCACATGTACTTTATAGATCATTAAATCTAGTATTAGAAAAATATCATAATACAAATATAATTATGTAAATTAACTTTAAATGCATTATCAGTTTTATTTATACTATAGAGTGAAAAGTGAAATATCACAGCATGACTTCTTATTGGTATATAATTTAAAGCCTATTTGAAAATATAAACATTGATAGTTGTAAGTCCTGATGATAATTGAATAACATTCATAATAAATCTGTTTTATTGTTTTCTCTAGAAATGATTAACAATTATTAGAGGGAATGGTATTAAGTTTTATCGTTAGCCACTGTAGTTCCAGTTTCATAGTTTCTATTACAAATGCATCCACATTGGAAAAAATCTGCATTAAATCAGGGCTAATGTGAATGTAAATGTGAATTTTAAATATAGTTGGACAATTTGCTAATTGATTAGTTGATGGGCTCATTAATTAATTATATTTGATTAATTGATTAGTAAAGCAATCTTCCAACACCCTCCTCTCCAACTATCATGCAATGCTGATCATCAGAGAGAAAAAAAAGGTGAGATAGCTACATCATTCTATCATGATATTCATCTTACTATTTTCAGCTAATTTTGATTTTTTAAAAGTAATTTTACAATTACCCTCTATGTGATATGACGGACATCTAACAGCTGTAATTTGCTCATTTTTTGTTCTAAAAACATTATTAGGGTAAAAACATTTGGCACAAAGTTTTCTTAAAGATGATCTAGACATTTTCTACTTGGCAAATTGCTACTGTCAACTAGAGACAACCAAGAAGTCATCATTTTGTTTGTTTTTTAAATATGCAGTATTGGAATTACCCTCTATGTGATATGATGGACATCTAACAGTTGTCATTTGCTCATTTTTTGTTCTAAAAACATTTTGCACAAAGTTTTCTTAAAGATGATCTAGACATTTTCTACTTGGCAAATTGCTACTGTCAACTAGAGACAACCAAGAAGTCATCATTTTGTTTGTTTTTTAAATATGCAGTAATCGTCCATTGATCGTGCATAATCAAATGTATTGATAATTAAATATCAAAAACATGTTTTACTATCACTAATAATGGTAATAATGTTTTTATTTAAAAGTCATCATCAATGTAATTAGATATAATTAAGTAGCCTATTAGCCAATTTACTTATTTATGTTGTTTGAGTAGGATAAATGCTTAAATATTATTCAATAAATAAGGATTTGAGTCATCAGAATATTTTGCTCTCACCTGCCTTACTCACTGAACTAAGATTATCTGATTTGATTAACATAATGAAAAACTCATGCTTAGAACCATTGCAACTAAAAAAAAGTGTTTATCAAAAAGTAAAAATATTAATTATAAATAAAGAGCCAAACAACAAATGTGAAATCAAACAAGTCTTCCTAATTAAAACAACACAGTCCCTTCTGTAAATCAGAGCACCTATGGATACTGAGATACCACCAATTTGGTAATAAACTTTATTACCATAGAAAAAACCTGACAAATAAAATATTTGAAAAAAAGAACATGACTAGTTTTGGCTTTAGACTAACTAACATCAGATTCAGTTGAATACATATTTCATTGTTGGAAATGAAGTAATTTTTCAAAATGTGCAAAAATGGATGCACAAGATTTGATCAACAGTACTGATGTTTGTAGAAAAAAAATAGAATAATGTCTAAGCTTGCTAGATGGAGTACTAATTTTAAACATTTTTTGAATGTGTTGTGAAAAATAATTTTTGTTCTATCAATGACAGATGTATTCAAAAGCTTACTCCTCGGTAAGCCTATGGCTAAAACTAGCTGTGTGTTTTTTTTTAGTCTTTTATTTGTGAAGCTTTTTAAGGGAATAAAGCTTACTAACTTTATATAAACAGTTGTTGAAAATGTTTAAGTATCTTCAGAACAGAACTGTGTTGTTTAAATGTATGCAGATAAAAGTTCATTTTGTCTAAATGTGCATTTTTCTGTTTTGATCTCCAATTGTTTTTTGTCATCTGTTATATTCCATGATTCATCTTTCCTCTTTAGGTTTCCTATAGTAACCCCAGATTTCTCTGGCAGCAGTTATATAATATTCTTAATTTCTATTCATTTTTCTTCAACTCTGTTCATCAATTATGATAGTTAGTATCTGAAGCCTATTTTGTAAATCTAGTTGAAATGTAGCTGTTACTTCTGGATTTTTTTTAGCTTGACATAATTAAAAGGTATAAGCATTTTTTCTTTTTTGCACAGTTTTATTTTTATATTTGCAATGACCAGAAAGTTATCAGCATTTCCCATGTCTACACCTTTAAATGATCTGATATCATGTTTCCTTACGAATTTCTTGAAATGAAAACAATGCAACACCAATAACCATTCCTGTCCCAGCATTACACACAAACTGAGGCCATTATCATTCTGTATCTCCATTCTGAATGTATCAATGTAACTCCAGAATTGATACATACCTTTAATGTCTTGTTTTGGAATTATATTAAGTAGATCTCACAGTTTAGGATACTTCTGTTACACATCACAAGATTGAGTTTACCATTCTTCGATTTAAAACAGTTAGTAGTCTCTCTTATATAGGTACACATGTCAACAAACTCGCTGCTAATTTCCTAGGGCATGACATAACCACTCCATGTGAAAGTATATCATATCAACCTGAAAACTAGTTTATCTTCAATTTTGAATTTACCTGTTACAATATGTCTGTATTCAGGAACTCCAAGAGCATCAAGATCACCTCTAACCGTTTCTTTCAAAAGTTTGATTCCTTTTGTTGTATCCCAAAGAGCCTAAACATTCCACGTACCAAACTTATATAATGCTTTGGAGAAATAAAATGGTTCATCCATTCAGTGAGACAGTTCTCTGATTCCCAGACAAGCTTAATGAAATCATGGAGTCTTGCTTTGACTCTGCCCCTCCATACAAGTTTCTCCCATCAGAACTAAGAATTTCACATTCACTTTTCACTCCATTATTAAAAATGTAACTACCTCTCATAGTGGGCTTTAACTAATTAGTTATTTCTGTAATCAGTAAACTTAAGGTGAGTGAGTGATTAGTCCACAGTACCCAAGACCAGTCATAAAACTGGTCACTTGGAATTGCCCATGGTTGATTGCACTAGTGTGGTGCTAATGTACTACCCAGGTGAGCAACAAGATTGCCACTTCCCTACAGAAATATGCAGAAGATAAGTTATAAAATGGAAATTTTTAAACATAAAATATTATGCTGTTGTAAAGTTAAACAAGTTATGTAAATGATAATTGACAAAAAATATTGAAGGTACAGTATGTATATAAATTACTATACACATACACATATTCATATAAGTAATATATATATATATTTATAATAAACTATAAATTTTCAAACATAAACAATTATGTAATGATAAAATTGAAAATTTTATTTTTTTAGCGGCATATATGTGTGTATTCACAAAAATACACATATGTAAATATGTGTGTGTGTACATAAAAATACTTTTCTACTGGAAAAATTAGCCTTGTTTACTGTAAAAATTTAAGTTGATAAGATATAACATTGTTGTAGTACACATACAGAAGTAAAATTATGTTATCAGATGAAACTTGCAAGAATTAGGTTTGCTTAATAACAGTAGGATCAAGTAAGAAATATTTGCAGTAATTGTGTTTGAAGCCTGCGTGAGGAAATCAGATGACTGGGTACATCTAATGAAGTGAACACAATCTTCATTCACAAACAAATGCAAAAAAATAATAGAGTTTATACTTTCATAGAAGTTGAGATACTAAAGATATTTTTGGAGAAGTGGTTTTTGTATTCTAAGATATTTTTTTTCTCATGTTTAAAAGCCGTTGAAAAAACCCTATAGAACCCATTTTTGCACAGTTTGTTTCTATTTTGTAAAGACAACAGTACTTTAGTACTTAGATTCTTCTGGAACTTCTTATGTAGTTAGACACCTCATACACTGAACATGGTTCAGATGTGTACCCAAAGGCACTGAAAGTACTGTGTCCTATTATTACAGTGCCAGCTCTGGTGAAAACGTATATGCGTGTAATTTTTAGTTAATCCTGTTAAAAAATTAATAAAGATAAACAGGAACATATGAATGAAAATGCTTACTTTCTCATTATATTTAATTCTTGCTATTTGTTTTGGAGGTACTTTCCATAGCTTAATATCAACTTTCTTTTTCTGTTCAAATACTGAAGTTTTAAAATTTAGTCTATTTTTTATACATGATTGGATATTTGCCAGCTGGCAAATGTTGTTTAAAACTTTATTTTACACATCTATATTTGGGAGATAAAACAGTGTAATCACATTCAAGAAAGATTAATTAATTTACCACATTACTGATATTTCTGGATAAATCTGACATGAATTCTGTGCTTATTATCTTAAGTTGTAAAGTTTAAGAATTTTTTAAGTTTATATTAATTTTTGGACTTCCTCATCTCACACAACAGCTATTACTCGACTGATATGGTTTATTTTCCTTTACCCATCTAAGTATTAGTCTGATTTATTCTTTCTTGCTCCAGTCTTTTATTGCCCTTGCCGATATCTGTCTCATGACACTCTCCACCTACATCAATGCGCCCTCTATCCTGGTACTTATATAATCACCTCCTTCCGATAATATTGTCACTTTTTCTCGATAAAGCATTCTCGAACAGGTTTCTCTGTAGTATGACCATTGGAGATATTTTGATTGTTCTTCACGTTACCTATTTGATTTTCATTTGGCAAGCCGATATACTGTATGAATTCCCGGTTTAATGTGTTTGGCATGGAGGCAAATCAGGTCTCTCCTATCCCACCTCTGATATTCAGCATTGCTCATAAATTGGGGGGAGTCACTCTCAGTTGAAGCTGTCCGTGACATTACCCATAGTGAGATGGAGACTTACATTCAGTCTGGCGGTGTTTCCCCAGGGGGCTCTGAGGCTGCACTTGTGGGCAATCCTGGACATTCTGGAGAGAATTTAGATTCGCTTTTTCCAGCACCTTCCTTTACTCAGTTGGCTTCTCATGAGGCCAATTTGGATCAGCCATCTCTGATTCCTTTTCTTCAGGTAGTAAATCGAGTGTGAGATGTCTTGAGTCTTTCCCCAGTTGCTTTTTAGTTTGCTCCTTCCTTAATGCCAGAAAGGTCTGAGGGTGAGTACTTAGTTCTCCCTCCATCCCATCATATTTTAGTTCATGCAGGGAAGTTTACTGCTCAGTTATGTGAAGAGACAGCTATGCCTTGTCTGCCACGTTGGTCAGAACAACATGCTTTAGCCTACCACTGCCAGGTGGAAGCATATTTAGACTTTCAAATAATAGATCCACCCCTGAAAATGTGGGGATCCAGATAGAGTGTGTGTGGTCATCCTGAATAGATCACAATTTTCTAGGATTCATCTGACCCCAACTGTGGTGCCGAGATATTTATCATCCTACACCTTTTTTTGGAAGTCTCTCAGCAATTGTCACATCAATTTGATGATGAGATAGAACCATTGTTAGCATCCAGTTTGGTTTGATTGTCAGCTTCTGCACTTTACCTACTCTCTTGGCTGATATATTGTTGGGATTTGTTGGGTAGAGATATGTTGTTGGAGAGCATTCGTCTACCTGCTGCTGCCATCCATTAGTTATGCGAGGCCCTCTTTCTCTGATCCTTGATTTTTACAGGCATTTCAGAGTCTTTGGAATCAAGGGATGATGTCACCTGTCTGCAGTCATCCCTGTCATCATTGGCTTCTTGACTCGGCACCTGCAGGCGGTCTTAGTTCCACTTCTATTCGAGTGTCCTGATCCCTGATATCAGCTCCTTGGTCCTTTGGTACCCAGAATAGATTCAGCGTGACTACCATATGCCTTTGGGGGCTGTTTGAACTTGGTTTTGAGAATTTTAGGATGTGTGGAAAACCTTTACTACAGGTCTTTGCATCAGGATTAGTCATTCAGTTCACATCTCCACCACCATTATCCCCAACCTGTAGTGTCTTGGATTTTGAAATTTTGTTCCATGGCTATCAGAGGTTTGTTGGTCAAGGTGGCATAGAGAGAGAGTCATTCCAGTTCTTCCAAGGTTTTATTCCTGTCTGTTTGTTGTGGCCAAGAAGATGGGAGAATGGCATCTGATCAGCGATCTTTCTTGTTTAAATCAGTTCCTGGATTCTCCAAAGTCATTCCTCATTCTATGTTGGCATTTTTAGCCAGGACTGTGGATGATCAAGTTTGATGTCACTGATGCATATCTGCACATTCCCATAGAGGAGTTGTATTGTTACTATCTGTATTTGTGCACAAGGGTCAGGTGCAGCAGTTTAGAGCTCTGCTCTTTGGACTAGCATCAACACCATATGTGTTCTGCCAAATTGTAGGAACCTTTTCTTGTCTCCTCCATTCCCTGGGCCTGTGCACACACCATTACATGGACAGTTGGTAACTGCTGGCACCATCTCATCTGTTAGCAGAATGTCACACCCAGATACTGCTTCCTGAAGCAACCAAGGCAGAATTTCATATGAGATCCGAGAAATCTCTTCTCACTCCAACACAATATATTGTCCATCTGGGTGTCTTTTTTGACATGTATCTTAGTCGGGCTCAGCTGACTTCCATCCCGTTCTATGCTGTTGAACAGGCAGTCTGACTCTTACTCATGTCTCCTTTTCCCACTGCGGGGATGGATCTTTTTCTTTTAGGGGTGTGGGTATTATTCGATTACCTCCTTTCTTTGAGACCAGCACACATGAGATCCCTTCAGTGGTCTTTACATGACCAATGAATCATGAACAAGGATCAAATGGATTCCCCAGTCTCCTTATTCAGGAGTGGGTAGATCAGAACATTACTATGACAGGTGTTCCTCTGCTGCCACCTCATCCAGAGATCCCTCTTTTCACGGATACCTTGCTTCAGGGATGGGGTGCATATCTTCTGTATCAGACCCACTCCCATCATATCATTCTGCTAGCTTGCTGGGGGTGATGAATTTGGTGGATCAATTGTCTTGACTCTACCGGTTTCTCTCGATGGAATGGATACTTCATCAAGGAGTTTTCCATTGTATTTGCTGTTGGTTTGGCACACCAAGGATTGATACATTTGTTACTCATTGAAACACTCAACTACCAGCACTTTGGTCTTCTGTACCTCATCCTTGGGCATTGGCAATAGATGCATTCAGTCAGGGGTAGACTGGATTGTACCTATATGCCTACCCATTGATTCGTCTGTTACCCAGAGTTCTATAAATGATTTGTTCAACTCCTTGTCACATTCTGTAGGTAGCACCGGATTTTCTGGCTAAATTATGGTTTCTGCTTCTGTGGTACCTTTAGAAGTGCTCACTTCTTTGGCTGTTTCTGTTGAAGCAGACATAATCTGACATCTTACACCCATCTATCCTGAAGTTTAAATCTTCATGGGTGGAGGTTATGCTGTCCTTCTTATGGCATTGGGGTTTATCTTCTAAGGTTGTCATGTACCTGTCTCAGTTTTTGTATTCTCCAACAATGGACATTTATCAATGGAAATGGCACACATATTGACAATGTTGTATTGCAAGGAGATTGAACTCACTTTGTCCAGATGTGCCAACCATAGCTCGATTATTGACTTGACTCTTTGACAAGGGTTTCACATTTTCCACAATCACCCTATATAAGGCAGCCTTATTGACTACCTTTAGATACTTGAAGACACAGAAATTCTCCTGTGCTTTCTTGTCCCCTCAACTTGTTTCGGGTACTTTGTCCCAAACGACCATTTCAGTTACTTAACTGGATTTTAAAGGTGGTATTACATTTTCATTATATTATATTTTTTGTTGCTGGTGGCTTGCAGACTTTGCTGGTTCCTCAGGACTCCCCAATGTGAATTACCCTCCCTATTCTACTAGTGGAACTAGGGAGTCCTTACCACTCCCGGTTTCCAATCTCTGGGGTAGTGGATAGTGTTCAAGTGACTTTCCTCCTCTATTGGAGAAGAGGGTGAAGTTTGGGGCCCTCCTACCCAGGACCCTTGATGTTTTTTTTCCCAGATGTCGGTAGGAGTGGCACCAGCATACACAGGAGCCTTCTCATAATATCAGATCAGATTTGACACTCAGCTATCCAGTAGGATTGGGTGTAGTCCTCCTTTTTGATCTATATTGGTTCAGTACATTGTTCATGGAAGAGGGTCCTTTGTCTACTCGAAATTCTGATTGCAGGGTGGTCCCATCTTGAGTCCTTAATTGAGCACAGTTTGTTCACGTCCTCCCCATAACTCTGGGGGTAAGTGGAATTTACCTTGCCCACATGATTGGGGAGTGAGGATGACCATTCCTATATCCAGACTGGATGAGTTTTGTTTCCTCAGCTTGAGTATGGCATACAGGATCGTGTCATTCTGAGTTTTGGATGTTGCCTTTCAAACTTCTTCAGGTTGAGGGGAGGGTTTGTCCACTTCTATGTTGCTTACCTTCTCATTGTGAATCCAGTGGTTCGGAATGCATTACTCTCTAGCTACAGGTTGGGAACCACTCACAAGTATATGTAGAATGTTGTCCAAATGCCCTAGCCACCAACATGTGATTTAGGGGCTCTGGCCCTATAATTCCAACTTCAAGCAGTGGGACCTTGGCTACCTGGCTAGGGTCTGGCCAGTGGTGATGACGAATCACGTCAAACTCCACCTGCAGTGCATGATTTAGTATTCAGGTGAATAGCATACTTGTACTGGATGTAGTGCAATTCCCCCACTAATCTTATATTTCTTTTGGCATGCCCATGCAGATGCATTCTGTATGGATATTGCCCTCACAGGCCCCTTCACCTTATCAATGTGGGATTCTAGCTGTAGTGTGAGAGGAGGTAAGTATGTTTTGGAAGTTAACATCTTCTTAAATCAGAAATGTATTTCCAATAATACTTAATTCCTTTCACATTCTCCCACCCTTCCTCCCCACTCAGAGCTAGTGTTAGAGACTGTAAATTAGGTCAGTCTGTAAAAATTGACAATATTATCTGAAGGAGCTGCTTATATACAGTAGCAAGATAGAGGGTGCAGTGACATAGGTGGAGAGTGTCACGAGACAAATATTGCCAAAGGAAATTAAGTGGGAAATAAAAGACTGGAGTAAGCAAGAAAAAATTAGACCAATGCTTAGATGGGCAAAGAAAAATAAACTGTGGTGGTTGAGTAATAGCTATAGTAGGAGAGGAGGCAAGTATTATTGGAAATACATTTTTGATTTAAGAAAATGTTAACTTTAGAATTACAACTAGAAAATTATTAGGATAATAGTAAAGAAAAACTTGTATATTAGTATTTGTTGTAATTCATAATGTGTTCGACTTATTTATATATTACAGCGATTGAAGTAATGAAATAAAATCACATTCACTCGAGGGAAAGCTTTAAGGAATATTACTTTTCCTCATATAAAGTTGAATTTCATCATGAACTATTTTTTATTTAATCCATGAAATATGTTTTCATTGGTCATAACTAAAGGAATATGGATGGACTATGCATTCCTTATTAAGAAAGCCAACTAAAAAAAAACGAAATTCCTCAAACAAAGTTAAATTCCTTTGGGAATTCAGGAATGTAATATTTTGATCCCTGAATTATTGAAAACCATTGATCAGTTGGAATGTTTTATATTTTTTACAGATGCAAGTGGCATCTAAATTTGAAATGCAAATAAATTTATTTTGAAATCTGAATTTTTTTAATTGTAGATTTGGACAGCTGGGTTTAAATGATACAGAAAATCGCAAAGTTCCTACTTTATTGAGGCAGTTACGGTCACAGCGTATTAAATACATCTGTTGTGGTGAGGACCACACAGTAGCACTTACTCAGGTGAGTGACTCTGTAAATGCTATTTTTTTTTTTGCTGTGGAACAACACACCAATGATTTTAACTCTTAAGAGTTTCTGACTGGTGAATAACTGTACATTTTTACATTTGTAATAATAATGTAACCCTTGACCTACTGTACAATCAATTTATCTACAAATAACATATTGGAAAAAGAATTACTTAATGTAACAAAACCAGAATGCAGAATTAAAATAGCATTGGCTAAACAAAATGAACATAATATTTGCAAAGTTACTTCAATATTTTTTTTTTATAATTATAAAATCAGATCATTGAATTGGGGCAATAGAACAGCTAAAATGTATCCTATTTGACAAATACATTAGAATAAATCCAAAAAGGCAAGAATGTAAAATTAGATAAAGATAAGAATTTGAGATGAACATGTATTTAAATCTAAATAGCTTAGGTTACCATTATACAAAGAGACTTTTTTTTTTTATCAAAGCTGTGCCATGGTTGTATTTTCATAGATAAAAATGACTTGGAGTAGTTTGTAGCAATGAAATCTTAAAGATTATTTTTATGAACAAATTTTGAAAAGAGAAATTAGAATGTTAGTGAAGCAAGGAAAGGTGTGATTTCATGATTTCTGTATGACTGACTACCTACTGCATATTAGAGGAAGTGAGAAAGTAAACAGCTTGTTATCAGGAGCAAGTAAGAACACAATGGTTTATATTTAGCTAAAGTAAGAACCTCACTTGTAATTTGTAAACATGATAATTCACATGGATTGATGTCTACAAAAGTTACACAAAAGCTATGTTGACAAGCTTCTCCCAAAGTGCACAGCTTAACAAAAGACCAAGTATGAAAAGCTGTATGAGCAGTATTTGGCATGTGAAAAATGGAAGTCTGTTGTCACATTGGACAAGTCGTATGTTTACATGAGTCCCTAAAAAATTCTCAGCAATTTATTATCATCCTGTTAGTGATATGATATATTAAAATGGTAAGGAACATGTCACATAAATTTTTACAAGAGATTTGTGGCATTTGATGTTTTTTTACAGTTTTAATGATAAGTTAAACATCTGAAGAATTGAGAAAATGCCAGTCTAAATTTTTCGTACTATTTGGCTAACATGTTGACTGGACACCACTATATTGTAAAGGAATACCATATTTGTTTGAACTGTATATCATTAAGGTGTGACTCTATTAACAGAAAACATCCTGGATATCAGTGAGATGTGGCTCCATTGAGAGGAAACATCAACATCCATCCAAGTAAACTTCGGGTTTGAATCCCCATCCCACCAAACATGCTTGCCCTTTGTCCTTCTGGCTGTGGGGGCATTATAATGTGATGGTCAATCCCACTATTCATTGGTAAAAGTGTAGCCCAAGAGTTGGCGGTGGGTGGTGATGACTAGCTGCCTTCCCTCTTCTGCAAGATGCAAGTACAAATGGGAATCAACACTATAATTTTTACAGCAGAGCTGATGATTTTGGTTCAAATCTGTGTAATAACATGAAAGTATTTCCCAAACTTTAAGCTGTGGGTGTAATATAAGAGTGACAGTCAATACTTTGGCATGGATAGCGGGTGGTAGGGTGTTGCTGACTAGCTGCCTTCCCTACAGTCATTTATTCAAAAACAAAGATAACAGCATATAGCTGTAGCAGCTTTGCCATAAATACATACCATTCACAGACATTTCTCATTAGATTCTGTGCCTTTGGGCTGCACACAGTGTATCGACTATGTAAAGATGATGGACAACACTGATCTCAGTGTATAGTGCAAAAGCCTACAACAGCAGAAATTACCAGAACAATCACATAGAACAACATCAGTTATGGAAGAAGAGGGTGTAAAGCTTAGGTAGTCAACCATGTACAAACTCCAAGATGATGAACACCAATTTGTACATGTGTGCACATGTAAAGGGTGATAGTAGTGGAAAGTAATGAACAAACACCTGGCCAGATATATATATATATATATATATACAATATATACATTTTTTGTGTATGCATACAGTACAAACAAAATGCACTGCCCTGTTGGATATGACTGGATGTATAATTTTGTCCTACCCATATGTCTTGGCTCTAAGCATGTCCAAACAATTTTATATTTGGAACTCTGTATGACTGTGTCAGTTTCATTAATTGTGGATGCAATCTGTAAGTTTTACATCCTGTTTCATGGGCTACTTGTTTATGTGCACTGAGCAAAGCCACAGCTGTTTTTGTAAGCCTCCATTGATACCCCTTTTAATGTGCACATCACAGAAGTTTAAAAGGTCAACAAAACAATTATCAGTATTATAAATGACCTTCAGTAAATATCGGGCATGTATAAGCATTGGATTTTTAATTTACCTTTTGAGGGAATGATTTTCAATTAATAATCAGAATTTACTAGAATTTTTAAACAATTGCTAAATTCATTAACATGTACAAGAGATTGTTAATTTGATAGATAATTAAGTCCCTTGCCTTTTAAGAGTATTTTTCTTTCGCTTCTATACTTGAAGAGTTAAATTTTCCATTTCATCAAATTATTTTTAACTCAATTTCAATTTTCATATTTTCATTGATTTTTATATTATGGGGAATGAATCTCATAATCTATCATAACATACAAAAAAGAGTGTTAGTTTTTGAAAATAGTAAACCAAGTGCATATACACACTCTCATATAAGGAACTAAGTATGTATTTATAAATCCTGAAAGACTTCTAAAATACACAAAAATGAAAAATCAAATAAATGTTTTGACCTTTTGTAATTTGCTTTGAATTTTGTGTCAATGTGTAATATAGATACTAGAAAAAAAGTGCAATGATAAATTGAAGTCCAAAGATACAGCTTTTGAGTGGTTGAGTGGATTGTTTATTTTTATTTAACCTTCTTATGATGTTTTGACCACTCGTGTGGCCATCATCAGACACAAGCACAAGCACTTTGTTCCAATTCAGAAAGCACATAGGGTGACACTTGTGTTTTGATATAAATTAGGTTTTAGTTCACGATTATTAATTAATGCTTTTATTCTTCTATTAATGTTGTTCTCATTGCATAATATTTATATATGTACATATATAATATGTATAAGATTTAGTTAGTTAGTTAGTTTCAAAATGTTTTAAAATTTATTTGATATCTTGTTTCTAAGTGTTACAGTCTTGTGTACTTCATTCATGTTTGCTTATTTTCAAACTATTAAAAATCTGGTTTTTAATATAGGTTTTTATAAATTCTGAAATATACTTGTAAATTTGTTTTATAATCTTGTTTTGTAAGATGCAGTGTTTTAGTGCTTCTTAATATGCATGTGTATGTATAAATGTACATCAGTTTACTTTGTTATCTTTTTCTCTTTAGGATGGAGGAGTTTTTACATTTGGAGCTGGTATGTATGGTCAATTAGGACATGGTAGTAAAAGTAATGAAATTCTTCCCCGACGTGTTCTAGAACTCATGGGCAGTGTTGTTACTCAGGTGGCTTGTGGTAGGTAAGTAACAAAATTAAATTTACTTTGAATTGCAACAAATATACATGAAGGTATTGATAGGTATATAACACAAATAACACACATGCACAAGCATACTAATGTAACTCAATAATTAGTTGCATGATTTCTTCATTTTTGAATTTTAATGTCATAATTAATACACTGTTATGTGCATAAATCTTTGATTTTTTTTTCTTTTTATAATTTATTTCAAACATATGACAATAGCTGGTTAGTTGTAAGATTGATATTTTATGGAAAGTTACTATGAATGACTTTGTTTTAACTGAATCATTCTTACTTTACAAGTGTACTACAATTTATCATCGTCGAGTACATCATTTACCTGAAAAAGTATAAATAAAAGTGTAACAGCTCAAATTAGTTCATATACTTAAGCAATTATATTTTAGATGAAATTGGATTTATTTGCTACTTGTAAATGGAATTAGAGTATAAATTATTGTATATCAGAATTGGCCTAGTTTAGTTTATCGTATTATTCATGTGTAGGGTACAGATACTGTAATTTATTACTTTGTAATTTGAGACTTTAATCACCTGAAAGTGAATAATATGAACATCTTCGAGATACGGTGTTAGGTAAGTTAGATTAGTTTTGTCTTACCTAAATGGCATAAACAAGGTTATTTGTGCCATTTTTATCCAAAAAAGAGGTGTAGATATTAATTATAGTATTAACCATAATTTTTAACTTCACTGCAGTATCATCCATGTTTTTACAAAATATAAGTGTTAAGGTTAAAAAAAATTAGAAACTAGTATTGATAGGTAATATTATTTTATACTTTGCCCATTTAATTTTGAGATCTAATACCAATTATTATTCAAAGGTATGTTATTAGGCAAACAGAAGCTCAGATTTAATGAAAGAAACTGAGGACAAAATTTTGATATTAGTATGCCATGACTTATGCAGCACAAATAAGAAACTGAAATTAATTATTTAAAATTATTATTGCACTAGCTTATTTTGTTTGATGAGCACCACATGTGTATATAGAAAATATTTCTAATAAATATGAATTGTGTGAGTAAAAATTTGTTGAAATAAGGTATATGCAAAACAGTATATATGTTGCAATGTCTAAACATGTAGTTAGGCCTAAATAAAATGTTTTTAATTGTGTACCAGATTTAGTGTTGAATATTATTTATGATTTTAACTTTATACACAAGTGCCAAAATACAATAACATAATTTATATTATTATATATGTTAATAGAGAAGAATTCTTTTTAATGCTAGGAGACAATTAATATTGTTGGTTGATTATATATATACACACACACACATTAATATAATTAATTTTTTTAACAGGTTTCATATTTTTTAAATGTTACTTTAACTTATTACTTTTGTCCCTAGGTGTCATACATTGGCTTACGTACCTGGTCAAGGAAGACTCTATACTTTTGGCCTTGGAGGAAGTGGTCAACTAGGGCTAGGAACAACAACAAATTATTCCACACCTATGGTCATACATGGCCCTTGGGTTAACCACTGTACAGATTTAGCTGTAATAACATGTTCTTCGAGTGTTTCTAATATTACATCCATACACCAAATTCTAAACAGTGAATTAAGTCAGTCACAGTCTGAGAGAAAAAGTGAAGACACATTAGTGTTACATTCTAGAAAATCTGAAAAAAATTCAAATGATATACCTGGAGCATGTGTTCAGTCCACTTCATCTCAAGGAAAGAAAACAAAACACAGTTTTAGTGATGAATCAGAATTAGGTTATAAAGGGACTGACCCAGTAGTGGAAATGGAATGGAGAGAGTCTGATCCTGGACAGAATGAGTTAAAGATGGAAGTAGAGGAAGGTATAACATTTTTTAAATTAAAAGTTGGCATAAATGAATATCTTAGATGAATCATTAACCATATCTTAGAACTATTTAAATTAGGTAACGTAGTGGATATTTCTGAACTTTAGAGACTGAATATTATATTACTCTAAAATGTTTCCCTGTATGAGTAAATGTTTTAGTAAATAAAATATGTGGCAGGCAACTTTTAAAAGAGTTGAATTGTTATTTTAAGTTTAATAAGACATGCTTTATTTAGCTGTGGCATTGTAACTCATAGAATGGCTCTGAGTTTTTCAAGTACAAACTTTTAGTTCATAGCTCCATCATTTCTTGACCGATTTGACATCTAATTACAGTTTTGGACTCAGAAGGTCAAACCATTTCGATTGATGTATTTGATCACATCCAAGGTCTCATAGATTAATTTAATCTAATCTTGCCTAAAAGAATTTCAATTTGAGGGTAGGCTGGTAGAGATCTTGATAAGTAATAAAATTGAATCAGGTATACGCACACCCCACACTTGGTATTGCTGGTGCACAAAAGTATACCTAAACAAAAAGGAAATAAAGGTCTCATAGGCTAATTTCCTCTAATTCTGCCTAAAACATTTTCATGTGCCATGGCTATTGAGGATTTCCTCATTATTTTTTTTAATCAGATACCAGTTTTCAATGGTATTTTTCAGATTATGTAAGTCATGAAAAGAAATTTATAAAAATCTCAAAATTATTTTATTATTAAGAGTGATCTAGGAAAGTGAATTTTTTGAGCTAACTAGATCATGAATTTTTTATTTAAGATGCTCTATTCTCATAAATATATTTTTATATACACTTCACATACCAGTAAACTATAATGACCTTCATAAGTCTGGAGCATCTCCAATTATAGCAGAGAATCAAGTTTCAAATATACAATATTCTACTTTTAAACACTTTAAAAACAAAACCAAAGATGTACATTTACTGCTATAATTTAAACAATGTTCCTCTTTCATAATACCAAACATTTCAGTATTATTTGAACAAGATCAAGTTTTTGTTTTCATAACATCATTGTCGTATTTTGTTTCTAACAAATTGATCCAGGATTGTGTGTGTTTAGTAATTGTCTCAGTTTTTTAAAACCAGTCATTTGCACAATCATCAGCATGAATATAAATAAGTTCTTCTAATATTTCCTCATCCATCTAATTTCAAATAAAAACTGGATATTATTTCCAACTAACTAATTAAATTGAAACCTGATCTTTAGCATCATAAGCCTGCAGTCTTATTGATGAGTCAGTGGGAGCACCAAACCCAGTGAAAATACCTGTGGTGGGTTCCTCATCATCAAATTTGAGTTTTTTTATATGTGTTTGATTTCAGGCAGGTTTTTAAGTTTGTCTTTTATTATATTTGTGAACTATGTTATAGGAGCTTGTGTTAATTTTTTGTGGCAGTTAGTATCATTAAGTGGGTTAGTAGTTTCAGTAACATAGTTCTTTTTGTTTAGAATATAAACAGAGCCAACTTTGACAGGAGGTTTTATTATAATATTTGTGTCAGATATAAAGTTTTCATGATCAGTTCTTACTTTAGAGATAAGGTTATTTGTATATTTTGAAGACAAAAGCTTCAATAACTCATTTTTTAACAACTTTAACCCTTTTGCGTTAGGCTCATGTAACTTGCGGAAATCGAGTCACGAATTTCACTTGTACACAATACATTTGGTAACTGAGATTGCTTAGTGTATCCTCTCAAAAACTGTTAAGATCATAAGTATCTTGTACTCAAAGAATGATATGGTAATTGTTTTTAATAAAAATATGTTATTTATCTATTGTAGTTATTTGCACTCAAACTCTTCAAAAAATTGAGTGCAAGGTGATTTTAATTTTAAGTATAAAAATACTTTTCTTCATCTTATAGTTTCATATTTCTTTTACATAATCTCTAGAACCTCCTTAAAGAATATCTAAAGTTTTTTAAGGTAACTATTTATTTTTCGTTTTCTCTATCATGTCACTAACTCTAAGTATTATCATCAATGTACAATGCAATGAAATAATTAGAATTAGGAAGTAGAACAAAAAAGTGCATACCTATTGGTTTTTGTAGAATATCTTTAAAGATTTTCCTTTCGTTAAGTTTGTAATTTCATGTCTTTTCCTTTTCCCATATTGTTAATGTTTAATATTTTATTTTCATTTCTTGTTCTTTACCACTTATTATTCATCTCAACATAAGTCAATGGTGCCCTCGAGGCATATTACAGTGTGTCTGGGAGACATATGCAACCCTTCAGCAAACCTTTTGTGCACAATGTAATATCATAAGCCTTGAGAACTAATGCCAGGTGTGGTGTATATTTAGAAAATATTCAAACCTTTTAGTTATGCATTTCAAAACATAAATAATACATAATTTATTAAAATATAAAAGTAAAACCTAAATATAATTTAAGTGTTACATGTATGTATATATCACCACTTAATACTTCACCACCTACTTCCATTTTTGAACATCTCACACAATCAAACAGGAATGCATACCCACCAAATGATAAGAAAAACTCTCTATACACATGTGTATAGTTATTAGAAAGAGCTCAACTGTTATTTTGAAATTGGTATGCAGTTGTCATCAAGGAATACATGTAACTGATTGCATAGACACATAGATTGCACAGATGTTACATACACTTGTGTATAGTTATTAGAAAGAGCTCATTTTACATTATAATCTAACAACTGTTATTTTGAAATTGGTATGCAGTTGTCATCACGGAATACATGTAACTGATTGCAGTATTGTTCGCTGCTTGATTGACTATGGTATGTATGGTTGTTTCTTACCTCAATGTGTTATAATTAGAGATATATATATTAAAATTTGTTTTTCATTACATTTTCCAAGGTCTTTAGGAACAATGTTTTCATTCACAATTTGTAGTTCAGTGTTGTGAGAATACCTCTTGGCTTTGATTTGATTTTTTTATTTTTTAGGAAAAGGGGGTTCAGTATTTCATATTAATTTATTGAGAATCTAATGTTAGTCAGGATTGCATTTATGAAGATAAATAAAGTTAGAGTTTTCTTTAAGATTATTAATAATTTTTACAGAAAATGTTTTGTGATTTTCATGAGTTTTAAAGAAATGTTTTCATAAGTTGGATGCCATGGATTGCAAAATTTACTATTGCTTAATCTTATTGTAATAGAAGCTTTCAGTCTAGAAGACAAGGCTGTTGTTGTGATGAAATGTTGCATATTGATCATAGTTTGTGTGTTTTTGAAATAGTTTCTGAAAATGTTTTATGTTAGAAAATCCATGTATGTTTTTTGGTGTATATTAAGTATTAGTAGTAGTAGGAGAAATGTGTTTCATTTAATGATGCAAGAGAAGAAGAGGACATAACATCCTGAGATTGGTTAAATTTGTTTTCATTGTAGGTAGAAAACTGGTAAGTAACAAAGAGATAGACGAGTTAGAAAAATAATAAGTAAGAAAGAGATAGATGGGTTGAAAGTTACTAGAAAAGTTTTATCAGTTGAAGAGGAAGAAAGAAGTGAAGACATAGACATGATGGAAGGAGTTGCTAATACATGGTTGATGTTAGGAGTTTTAATGGTAGCAACACAGACTTGAGTTTCAGTAGTGGGAAGATAGAATGTTAAAAATTGTTAAGAGGAAAGAATTTTTGAGTAGAAACAAACTGGTAAAGTAGAACTGGATTTAGGTTTAGGGAGTTAGTTTGCAAGGACGTGTGTTGCCCTTCTATTGGTGGACGGCTTTGGCAGCATGATATTATTATGCAGTAGCACAATTCACAAGAAATATAGGGGAGATTAGGTGAGAGTTGCTTAAAGACCAGTGGCATGCAAATCTGTATTCCAGATGCAGGGGGGAAATAGCTTAAGTGTGTGAAGAGGTATCTATCAGAAATACATTTCCAGGAAAGGAAAATGTTAGCTTTTGAGAGAAAATTGAGAGGAGTTAGTAGGGCTTATTGTAGATGTGTATAAGTGTAGAGTGGTATTGGAAGATAAATATAATGAATTATACTTCTCATAAGGGCCATTATATTTTTACTGTTACATTTTTTAATCAGTCTATTAGGGTTTTTGAAACAGAGGAAGAAAGTATAATAATATTTCAACCATGCATTAGAAAACCACACAGTTGACAGAAAAATTAACCAGTAAAATGATAATTATCATTTGTATGTATGTATTGTATAATTTGATACATTAAAACATTTGTATATGCATAAACACATTTGTTTTGGTTGTTTTTCCTTTGTACATTAGAACAGTCATTTAGCTGCCTGAAAATCATATTGTTCTGGCATGATTTCAGTGTTTGTTATATGGTATATCTTTATTCTTGCACCAAGGCCTAGATAAATAACTAACAGTATAATTCTTTCAATAATCATGTTATTTCTTATCAAAAACCCAATTATCATATTTAGTATTCGTGAAAGTCAAAAAATAATGTTTCATTTATTATTCATTTTAAACTTGTTTGTGGCTTTAAAAAAATCTCTCAAGCCCTTGTCATTAAGCATACCTTACCACTCCAAGTACTTTTAATGCCTCCACCACTTTTAGAAGCAAAGTGGGGCATGCTGATTTGCCCCTGTTTGTCCATTTGTCTATCTACCCTGATTTTGTAAACAGGATATCATGAAATGGGATGGGATGCACAGATTTTGACCAAACTTACACAACAGGTAATACATTCAAAGTTCTAGATCTGATTAGCTTTTGAAGGGCATGTGTCAAAGGTCAAAGTTACTGGTACATAGTAAATCTTCTCTATCCTTGTGGACACATACCAATACAGGATGAATGGATATTGACCAAATGTGTACAACAGGTACCAAATACAAAGTTTTAGACTTAAGTTTTGAAGATCATTTGTAAAGGGTCAAAATCAATTGCTATTAGTGGGGGTATAGGTTTTTGTAAATACAAATTGCACTTGTTTTTTGCTATTGCTGTTAACTGCTTCTACACAAAATATACCACCCACTTGATAAGAGTTATATATATATATATATATATATATATATATATATATAT